ATCAGCATTGAAATTTCCAACACGTAATTCAAGAGATAACTTATCATTGCATTTGAACTATTACATCAGTTGGTGTTATACTGTGCGATAAGCGAATATTATTGGAAAGAGGGCTTCTATATACGTCAAAATCATCAAATAAACCGCTCATGCACACATTTCTCCACTTCGTGGTAAGTTTACAGAGCATATGGTCCTTTTGAGTGACATAATCGTGTGTCGTCATCGATCCGTATCGTTGAACAATGAAAAAAATTGTTGCAAAATTAGTGAAGATAAAATAGCATTTTGTGAAAAAACTGCGGGTCTACGGAATGGGAACTTTTCGGATTTGAACTCAGCGTGTTCGAAAGTGTTAGTTCCCGTAAAAATATTTCAGATCTGCTTAATGAAAGTGAACGATATCAGGTCACAACACATGGACTTTGATTTTGATAGAGTTTTGTATTACATACAGGGCTGACATTTCAACCCAGTAAACAGGGCTGAGTTCAACCCAGAGGTTGAAAATGCTCCATGTAATCGACACTTTAGAGCATTGGATCACAAAACAGTATTGCATGGGTCATCAAGATGCAATAATGGTATAAAAATAATCTAGTAAACTTTTTTATATTAATAAATGCAGATGAAATCCACTGGCAGGTCTTTTACTGTAATAAATATTCCTATTAAATCCAAATATTGTTACCCAAATTATATTACAGTATATGCCATTGTAACATACCAACATTGCACTCAGTGTCTTCTGTGTCTTCAGCTGTTTCTTTCAAATCGACAGAGCCTAATTATATAAAATTAGCAAACACAACTTTGTTCACTCTTTTTAATAATTGCTTTCGTAGTGAGCGAGCATTCAGCCAGGCAGCAACCCTAATTTATGTAGCTGGCAAAATTCTTAATGTTTGATAGAACAACAATGCAATTCTCATGATTGCTGTTTGGCATGTGGGTTGTGCCCTCTGCACTTTGTTAGTTCTAATACAGTTTTGGTCAGTCTTTTCTCCCCTCGCCAAGAGGAAAGACCATAGTTACGAGGTTGTCTAACAAGCAGTAATGTAACCTGCGACACAGAATACCATCCAGAAGTCCATCACCATTGTTTTTGCGTAAGCGTTATTCGTCATGATTTGTCACTGCAAGTACCGTAAACAGAAGCAGCCCCCCCCTGGAAATATGAAAAATGGCGCATGTTTGCGGTACTTGCCGAGTGACGAATCATGACGAATAACGCTTATGCAAAAAATTAACAAATAACGCTTATTTTGTGCCTGCGCTCAGGTCTATAAATAAATAGGCATGATACAAACCTTATTGAAAAACTATGCCGTACAACCGTATTTCGGTTGTAAATCTGATTGGTCTAGGAGACAAAAGATTTTTTAATCTGTATTTGATTGGTTGGTGCTAATTAGATTATACTATTGTTGTCATTTGTGATGTTACTCTGAGTGTATATCCACAACGGGCAAGCTTGAAAAATATGCCCGGCCATGGTGGGAATCGAACCTACGACCTTTGGAATATTATTTGAATATTATTTGTAAAATAAATTAGCAATATACACTGAGAGTAACATCACAAATATCATATTCACCTAAGTACACAACACCAACACAGAAAAAATCATATACTATTGTTGTTGTTACATTATTATTATACTTTAATTAATAGATTGTTGTCGTATGAAATTTAAATTTCTCCTGCGACATTTTGATTGGATATTAAATATAAACTTTGCTGTAGGTGGAAAGCGATCGGATTAAGGTTTGTGCTATTATTTGTAAAATAAATTAGCAGTTATGCAGAACAGAGATTAATAATACAACATACCTTCTAAGCGGAAAGCAAAAGAGTCTATCTGCTGTTGAAAAATTTCATTGTAAGCCTCAGAGAAGCCGCTAAACGACACCCAACTGTGGTTGCTAAACCCTCAATATTAAATCATTCATATTATAAACTATATAGTGCATACATTTTGGATTTTACAAAGTAAACTTTAGAATTTGAAATTACCTCAATGATGGAATCCATCGGTACAAGGCGATGTCGAAGTATGTAACGTTGCTCACTTCTACCAAACGATTGTGGTTTTCTACGTCTGCTGGATACAGATGTGTCCCAATTTCGTCGCTGTAATTGCACATTCCAAAACGAATAAGGCAATTCTTGCACTCAAGAGAGACCTTCGCGCAAAGAACAGGGCCATCCAGGGTATACAAAGTTGCCTTTGACGGGAGGTTATGCATCGTGAGGAGTTTGTCGCATCTAATGCACGAGGAAAGCGGCGGTGAAATATATGTTTCACTTACATGCTTCGTCAAATCTTCGAGGGCAAGGAAAGACGAACACCAGCGTTCCAAAATTAGTGTATAGCTCGAAAGCTGATCAACAGAAGGCTTTAGTAAAGGCTGGCAGTTGGTGGAGAGGCATAATGCATCAAACGTATCCCATATCAAATTTGCTCGTAAGGACTGACCCGCCGTCATTCTCTTCACATTTGATGGAATATGTTTGATAGCTTTCCTAAGAATATATACACCTTGAAAGGTCATCTTGGCAGAAAGAAGTTGAAGCGTTTCCGACTCCGTTAAATTTAGACCTTTTGACAACAGCATGTCGGCGAGATCAAATTGTTGAAGCGCTTCGATTTGGTCTTTAACTCGCTTCACGCAATCATTGTCTTCGCTCACTCTCTTCCTTGCATTGTCAATATCGAAGTGACCTCCGATGCGTTTTTTCTTCGACATTAGTACTATTTAAACTCTTGATTTTAAGCAAAAAAAACCTGTGTTATTTAGACTATGGTGCGCTGGCACATGGCGTGAATGTATTAAGCAATAGCGCGCGTTTATCAGGAAACTGGTATCGAGGTAAACACATTAACACGATAGCACGCGTGTTTTGACAAATTTGCGCAAAGCAATTGCCTATTTTAGGCAGCTTATGGAAAGTTATATCAATGAAAATGCTATGTGTTTCAAAGTGACAACCGAGTGTCAATCGGGCACATGTTCAAACACAGGGGGTCCAACTAACAGCTGTGTTATGAATATGAATAAAACATTAATTAAACGTAATATGAATAAAATATTATAACGTAATATATTTAAATTATTGCACTTACTTGTATAAATCATAAGAGCTTGCCTTTGCACTGAATAGTTTCAAACAGAGCGCTTATATATGCTCAGAATGATTGCTTCGAAAGATTGTTCAAATATTCCGAATAAATTGACAAAACGAAAATATTACATGACGTTCCAACGAAAATAACAGCAGGGATTGCGGGCGCGAGCGGAAGGCAAAGGTAATAGATATTAATAGAAGGGATGAAACACCGATAACGCGATCGTGTGATGTGTTCCATAAGTAGCCTGGTCTCTCGGAAAATTCCAAAATGCCTCCTGCCAACTCCAACAACGCTTACGCGCTTAATTAATGAAAATAAACAGTGTTTAGCTGTACCGCTAATATGAAATATTTAAATGTAGCGACCAACGGGTTTTTTTAACATTATTTAGTTTTATTATTATTTAGTCATTACGTCACGAGACCAGGCTACTTATGGAACACATCTCGCGAAAATGGCCAAGAATGCTCGCTGTTATAAATCACATATATTAGATTGATCAGTGCTTTTTTTGGTAATGACTAGGCTTGTTCATGTAAGAGAACATCTACTGAGCCCTAAAAATACCACAAAAAGCTTAAACGGATAGTCTAGAAGCATTTTAAAAAGTCACGTGATATTTGTTTCATCCCTTTCATTTATTTCTTCCCTCGCCTTTTCGCTCGCGCGCCCGCAATCCCTGCTGCTATTTTCGTTGGAACGTCATGTAATATTTTCGTTTTGTCAATTTATTCGCCATATTTGAACAATCGTTCGAAGCAATCATTCTGAGCATATATAAGCGCTCTGTTTGAAAATATTCAGTGCAAAGGCAAGCTCTTATGATTTATACAAGTAAGTGCAATAATTTAAATATATTACGTTATAATGTTTTATTCATATTACGTTTAATTAATGTTTTATTCATATTCATAACACAGCTCTTAGTTGGACCCCCGTGGTTCAAACCGTTTTATATTACATACATATTTTCATGTCAAATATGCACAATCTTTAAGTGGTTTTCGATAACTTACCCTTGCATTTTATTCAGCAATAACCTAGGTCGATAATTAACCAGATAGATATGTTTTATCCCTTGCATATAGAGCAGGATTAATCTCTCAGCATACTTCCCTCCCCACGTATCACATCTGTTTATAAGCTCATTTATAATATACTGTTCACTGTTCAGTCTGTTGGATTATCTTACATTTCAAAGATATTGACCACAACAAGCACAGTATAAAGGCATTATATATGCCAATGCAATTCAGTAAACATGTTATACTACAAGCTATATGATTTTCGCAAAACTGATATTCTAAAACACTTGGTAATTCAAAGAGGTTAAATATGCTTTTCATTGCCTTTCAGACAATCAGTTTCAAAAGTCTTGGGACAGATGCTACAAAACCTATGAATTTCAACAAACAACAATCCCCCCGCCCCCTGCTCAATGTTGTGTCTCATTTCTCGTCGGGTTTGATGTGTTTTGGTTGGAGCAACATTGATTGGGGTGGGGGAGGGGGAGCGGAGCGGTATTGTGTGTAAAAAACTGTAATGATCCACTTACAAGCTAAAACTACATGTGTCCCAACAACTTCTGAAAGTGATTGTAGCTTGGGACAATCTAGTTTTCACATGCATTCGGTTGTAATATACCATTGCCTGATACATTTTTTCCCCCCTCCCTCCCCCACCCGTTTCAATGTTGGCGCCTCGCAACCAGACATCAGATTTGTGTCGACCCAACATTGAACTGGGGGAACGGGGGGCGTTATTCCTTCTAAATTATATGAAATTACAGCAGCTGTCCCATAGTTTCTGGCAAAGATTGTAGGTCCCTTACTTTTTTTAATTATGGTAAATGATCTCAAACCGGCTACAGACCTTGTCGAATTCGTCGATGATTCCAGAACGTGGAAAGATCTGTACAGAGACTCCCAATCTAATCTCCCATCAGCCGTGAAAGCGTGCATGCGAGGAATGAACATGTGATAATAACATTAAGTTGAACGCTTCGAAGACGAAAGAGATGCGTGTGAACGTTTCGCCTACACAGCTAAAAACGATCAGGTTGTTCCAATATTGATGAAAACAGGACTGAACAATGTTGTGCGGGCCCATATTGTTCACAGTTGTCAACAATATTGAACAATTTTGTTTACACCCGATTCAAGCTAAACAATATCGTTCAATATTGTTCACAAGTGTGAACAATGTGGGGCGCGCATCATTGTTCAATTCTGTTAAACAGCAGGCTCTTTACGCGTGTAGTTCTCCCTCTTAAGGCGGTTTTCCACTAGGCAAAATTTTTCGACCGAATCAAAATTTTCTTTTGTCTTACAAGCTCTCAGATGGAACTAAACAGAATTCTTTTGAATTTGAACAATAGAAATTTCGGTTCTATGGAAAAAATTCGCTTAGTGGAAAACCGCCATTACCCTCCAATTGTGATCAACAATCAAACAGTTAACATCATTAGGCATGCCAAGCTACTGGGCGTTACCATCTCGAATGACTTGAAAAGGAACTTGCAGGTAAATGCCAATCTGTAAGAAGGCTTCCAAGCGTTTATACGCTTGCGGCGTTGAAAAGAAACGCCCTTCCGGACTCCATCCTAGTCAATGTCTATCGCACGTGTGTTAGACCTATCCTTGAGTATGCATGCGAAGCGTGGCACAACATCGTCTCTGTGTACCTTAGTAACCAAATAGAGCAGATCCGGAAAAGAGCTCTCCTAATTATCTACCCTTCCTTTACCTACAGTCAAGCGATGCTCACAGTCAACTTTCCATCGTTGTACGATCACCGAAGCACCCTTTGCGAACGACCTTTCCACAGAATGCTTGATCCAGGGCATAAATTAAACTTGCTCGTTCCAGCTCTTAGGAATAACGAACACAATCTACGCCACAATACTGTAGGTGTTTTAAGGTTACAGTTTGTAGAACTGATCGCTATCATAAGAGTTTTATACCGTCTGTAGCGACATTATATGATTTGAAACATTTTTAACTCTTAACTTTTAATATTCTTAAATCGTATGTTATTACCTCACTTTAGTTATACAGTGTTTCATAGTTGTAAAACCATTGTAACTTCTACTTTTAATATTCTTAGGGGCGGACCATTAGAAATCCCGGGAGTGGAGGGGGGGTAAAAATTCCCCCAAAAAAATTCGTGTAAAGAAAAATGCCTGGAAAAAAATTCGTGCAGCCATTACGTCAGAGAAAAAAAATTCGTGCAAGCAAACAGTAAAGTACAAATAGTCTTGAAAAAAATTCGTGCAGAGGTTAAATGCATTAAAAATTCCTGCAGATAAGACTGAAAAAAAAATTCGTGCCGCAAAAATGTTATACCCCCCCCCCTCCCGGGATTTCTAATGGTCCGCCCCTTAAATCATATCTTACTACATATATTTTTAGTTATATAGTATCGTACAGTTGTAAAACCAGTGTAGTTCAGTTTTAACTGCAAAATTGGTTGTTAATAAAACGATTGTTATATACATCTGGGTCAAATTTGTCAGGTAAGACTGGAACCAGTGAAGTGTAATTCCGTCACTAGCTGCCATTGGCCTATAATATCAGTTTTTTAATCAAAATAGTATGATCCACGCAGTCAAATGCTCTTTTAAGGTCTAAGAATATAACACCGTTTAGGTAATCTTTATCCATGTTAAGAAGCCAGTTGTTGGTAACACTTAGAAGAGGTGTTCATAGTTGTCAAATTATTAGAGACCTTAAGATTTGGGACGGCAACGTGACGACGACAGCTAGTAATACAATGAAATTTATAATATTTAAGAAAAGAAATTAATACTTAAAATCCTATGCGAGATTTAGACGTCGTCCACGATCTGTTTACAACCGGTAAACCACAGTTTTTATACGACCTGTGTAGAACGTTTGCATTTTAGTACGTAAGAAGTGCATACTCAGCAAATTGGTTCAGTACTAATGTGAAATTACTCTACTTAATAAAAATCCTCTGTTTTAATTTCCTGAAACTGTATTAGATTCATGCGATTGATAATATTTATGATAAGATTTCTTTACAATAATTTATTTGGACGAATTTGTTTTGGCCGTCGTCGTCGCTTTGCCGTCTTACATCTTAAAGTCCCTATTTTTCCTAAGCCCCGCTTGCTGTCGCGTGACTACGCCATTTGTTTCCAGATACATATACAGTTGTTTGGAAATTAGTTTTTTAAAAACCTTGGTTACTACAGAAGGTACTGAAACGGGTCTGTAATTATTACACTCTAATTTGCTTCCTGTTTTATGTATGGGCGATATAATTGCTACGTTTTATGTGTGGACGACATATTATAGTGCATGCATTGCGGGCTTGTGTACTTCAGCAGCCAATATCGATGACATTTCTGATACATTTTCAATATATAAATCAGACACAAGGTGCAAAGATCCCCATATAACGATTTTTAACTTTCGTTTGCCAGATTACAAAAAATCATTTTCAGTTCTACAGATCTACCCAGTCCATGAAATGAGTAGCTACTTTATCTATCCCGACACGAAATGTATAATTACCTTCCAATACCAATACCAATACCAATACCAATACCGATATCGATGTCTTCACTTCCGTTCTCATTTTGGTACCGGGAATTTTAAAGCGTTAACTAATTATCAAGACAGATAAAGTAATAGAACATGATTAATCGTCACCGAAAATGTGCGGTATACTAAACGGCAGCTGAGCTAAAATTCCGACTAAAACATGACTCAAGCAATGCTATTAATTAAACAAATAGTTTACGTGTTTATCGTAAAAATTATGAAATATCCGATTTATTTGAGTTTATCTTACAATTCCCACGACTTCCAAACAAAGCCGACTTCGGTAGTGGTGACTTCCAAATTCCAATACACTTGTCCTCTAGCTTCTTGCGAACAGAGCGCATGCCCATGATCATGACCTGTTGTTAGTATCGGTATTGGTATCGGAAATCTAACTTAAACTCACTATAATTTAACTGAAGACGTCTTAATATCAAAATCTGTCGGACTTATGACATTGCTCGAAACAAATTGATTGAATTTTGGTTTAATTTGGATGAAAATTCGATGAGAAATGAGCAAACGTTGTTGTCTTGTTTTGCCGGGCAGAGTAAACTGAATGGGTAATAGCCTATTGTGTAGTTAATCCATGATACAAAATTTAACTTACTATTCTCACCAGACCTATTGTCGAAAGAGTATTCACACAACTTCTTGCCATTCCTTTGACGTACTGGAAGTAGCCTCAACATCAACGGGTGTTACAGGTGCATCCTGCTCGTCACTTTCTGCAGAAAGCATATGCTGCTCGGATTCTTCATCATCATTTGAGCAGCAGCAGAAACAACAACAACAACGAAAACAGCAACGACTGCTACTTTCGCGTTCATTTGGTGCAGATTGTGCGTTAACTTTATCCATAATAATCCGTGCGAGTCCTCCGCCTTGTAATTTTTCCGTATCTCCAGTTCTCACTGTCACAGGCACGACGAGACCCATCATTGCACATTGGTCGTCTGGTGGGTCTTCTATAATTTCACACAGTGTTTTGTAAAAGCGTTTTACTTCCTCTTTGTAAGTATCGCGTGTTACGAATTTGATGCGTTCTAATTCTTTCATATACCTCAAGGCCTTTATAGGTTCGTTGACGCATTGCATAGCAAAACATTTTTTGTCATAATTTGTGAATTCATAAACAGGAAACGGGTAAGGGCTCCAACCTAATTTATTAATTTGTTCGTCCTTGGAAGTCAATTCGGCAATGTCAGCTAAATGTGTACTAGGGGGTAAGAGCAAAAGCAGTTTATGCAGCGATAGTGTTATTCCTCTCCGCTGCTTTTGTCGTTTTTTTATCTCATCGTTTAATATGTGCACTGCAGGTACCAGGTGATTGAAATAATATGACCACGCCAGAGTGTAACCTGGATACATCTCCATTTCCTCCAAAATTATTGAAACGTCAACTTCGGAGTTTGTATTGAGGTTAAGCAAGTGTATTAGAAGTGGGCCAACACCGATTCCGCCTAAGATATAAATTATGTCTACAAGATGAAATGACGGTTCTCTCCCCAACCCGTAAATTAGGCAGACGATTATTACGAGGAATCCGATTACAGCAAAGATGGCAGCCCAATGGACTCCTCTGAAACATGATTTAAACACCTTACAATATTCTCCATTGTAACGACTTTGCAACTGAAAGAGTTCTTGAACGAAAATGGATAAGCGATCAACAATAGTGCCGAGTATGATGGAAAACAATCCTAAGCTAAGGTTAAAAAGAACTGGATAAGTTGTCTTTTCTTTCTTTGTGTAGCATGTAATATTTTCCTTTTTGATCATTGCGCAGTTGTCATTATCAGCTTCGTATTCGGTTATAGTTCTCTCAATGACGCCGTAAGTAATTATTCCTATACCAGCCGCAACGAATATCATGATTGAGGTTAATCTCAGACACTTTCTTTTCTTCGGTGGGTTTTCCCAATTAATGTCGTCTTGTGGTGTTTGACTATTCGGGTGTGTTCCCTGGTTTTGTGGTGGATTATTGTCGGTCATCATAAAGCGCTGTTTCACTCTAAAAATCTAAATGTTTGAAACACAGTTAAAGAGAGTGTGTGAGTCATTGAACCATTTCCTTACCACATGTGGTGATATGAGGTTTATGGACATTTCGTATATACTCTTGCCTTTTCGTACCCTTGCCGTTTCGCATCCTGGCTTGGTTGGTTCTTGCTCATCCTTAAGATCATTCGTACCCAAACACGAGCTTTCCAGGTGCAGAAGAGCTTATAGATGTGACAGCACAATAGAATCAACTTAATATTCATGGTAAAGTTCTTTGAGAAAATATTTATATCGGAACAACAGATTTATTTGCATTATATATACGCGTAAAAATGGATTTTGTTATTTTATGGAACAACCTATATAGGAAATCTTTTGGGTTTCATCAAATGTGACAATTTTACTTTTAAGGTGGCTTCCTATAGTTTCTTGAAAACTGGAAAATTTACGATTTGGATTAAAAAATTTTCAGGATTGTTGCTTGTTATGAAACAGGAATTGTGTGACTTATAATATATAAAACAATATTTTTAGAGTTGGAAATGATTAATAAAAATGCCGTTGCTATGGCAACAATGACGTTTCAATATGGCCGACATTGTGGCTTTAAACGTATTTTACTCGAAAAAAACGTCCGGTTCCCCATTTGTTATTTCACGAAAAGTTTTCTACAAGTATAATGAAATATTTAGACGAGTTTAAAAAAATTCTGTAGTGCCACTTTTTGTATTATGAAATCATGTTGATTAAATTTTTTTTAAAATGGTTCGACAGAAATTTTTTAAACTCGTTTAAATATTGCATTATATTTGTACAAAAATTTTCATGAAATAAAAAAATGGGGGTAAACGGTCGACGTTTTTTCGAGTAAAATACGTTTAAAGCCAAAATGTCGGACATATTGAAACGTCATTGTTGCCATAGCAACGACAACGACGTCATTTGTATTAATCATTTGTATTAATCAAATATTGCTTTATATAAGTCACACAATTCGTGTTTCCTAACAAGCAACAATCCTGAAAAAAGTTTGATCCAAATCATAAATTTTCCAGGTTTCATGAAACTATAGGGAACCACCTTAGACAATTTTGATTGCACGTTAGGCCTACTATTTATTTGTTTGAATGTATCGTAAAACCGCACAGTATTCTGATCATTTTGTGTTTTATAGTACAGCCATTTAATTAACTAGAGTTGTGTACGAAACGACCCAAGTTTGTATAAGAAACGACCAGAGTGTGGGTACGAAACGACTAGGCGGTCGAGTACGAAATGACTGGAGTATACGAAACTACCTGTTGCCGTGATATTGTAATTCTTGTCAAATCAAGGTGAATACCATTGTACCACTGGTGCGCTGTGTTGCCACTTGGAATTTACATTTTATTATACTAAAACCTATCTATTCTTGGCAGCAAGTACTTTATGACCATTATACCATCTTTTCCCACTTTAATTCTACCAATGTATTCGAATTCTAATGGTGATGCAACTGACATATATGGTCTATTTTGTAATCCAGGGCGGATGGGTTCGCATAGAAACATTAAAGGACGCATACATAAATTTGCGCTGTTTAATATAGACAGGCCCGTACACGCTAAAATGAACTGAAGTTACCGAACGTACGTAATAAATTAACATATGTGTTTTGACAAACCTATGTTTTTATGCGGCTAGTCACAAGCAAGTGCCAGGCTTGTACACCTTTTAAAATTTGCACCAAAACTTATATATATTCTTGCAGTTAGGTTTATCTTATGATCAGTTCAAAGTTTTTAAACTTTTAACTGATCATAACATAAACCTAACTGCAAGAATAATTTTATATAATTTTCAGTTTAAAAACTGCCAATCGGTTATATTTTCATGAGTTGTAAACATTGCATGACTGAAGCACGATCCTGAAGGCTGATCCGGCCATCCATCCACATTAATTTTAAGACTTCAAACGTTGATTCAGTGATGGTTAGGGTTCGGTGTTGTTTAAATTAAACAATATTTAAAGTTATCTAACTTTTGTTTACGGCTGAAAACGTATTTCAATTGCTCAAAAGAGTTCGAACTTCATTGAATCCCGGGTAAGCGTGACCATATAAACAGCCCCTATAAATGTGCTTGGCCTTGTATACTAGGCCCTTGGTCATTCATTGTTTCTAAAGTGGGCATATATTCTTATTCCTACAATTGCAACTGTTTGTGTCCTTGCTTCTATGTTTTTCCTAATTATGCGTGATTTTTGTTTAGTAATTATACATACTTGGCATTGTTCATACAACAATAGATGGCCTTAACGGTGTTTCAATTAACCTGAGAAAATTGGATCCTATGTTTCTATGACACTCGTGCTAGACGGAAAGTTATACAAACAACAAGGGGGAATTTCGGTCTCGACCAATCAGCGCTTTTGTTTACATTTTTGCCCTAAGCCAATCAGAATGCGTAAAACGCTTCATCACATGAAATTTGTAAGCAAACATATGGGGTTACTTCAGAGCTTTTCTGCAAGCGGTTTTTTGTTTTTTTGCCATGAAATTGATATATGTTGTTCTTAAAAGAATTCTCCTCAACTTCCTCGTGGAGATTTTTTATTAATTGCGTGATTGCGAAGATATGGGTCTTCAAACTTTGCCTTGCGCAAGCTTAAATACCACCCCTCGAATTTGTAGGTTCCGAACGGATTAGCGTTTTTAAAAGCCTTTCAAATCGAGGTTTGAGAGGTTTTATTTTTTAAAAGATACTTTTATCTTCATATTTTCACATTAACTTATTAATATCCTGTGTAACAAGTAAACAGGACACTTTCGGGCCGGGACAAGTTGACATGTCGATTTCTTGCTAAACAGCGTGGCGATCAATATGGTTCGTTTCTAAATACAGGGAATTTTTAAAATTTTGTTGGTATAAATGGGCTAAAAAAACTCATCAAATATTTGGACTATGGACCTTCAAACTTATGCCAAGTATTTATTTGATTGATCAGCTCAATAACTGTTTCTTGGCTCGTTTTTCGTCGATTTCGACATTTTGTCGACTTCAGGATAATGTGTCAACATGTTGCAGCCTGTGGACATGAATATTTTCGTTTGTTTGACCATAACACTTGTCTTCATTGTTTTTAATCCTTGAATGACAATATATTCATTGGTCTCAGAGTCCTAAACTTAACGAAGATGGATGACTTTGGGACAAAATGATTTTATTCACTGTTGCTGTTCAGGTATCAAAATTTATGGACATATAATTATGAACTTCATTGTTTTTACTTCATCTGGCTGACTAGTCACAATTGAGCCCTGCTCATATTACCTGGCTAGGTGGGAGACGACATTTGCCAGTATGTCCTATCCTATCCTGCTACTATCGGCCTGGCTAAGCGCGAGGTTTCCATTGCCAGAATCCTGGCAATAAGCACTGTATCCCAAACAGGCAACATGATAGGATGTGTTCTGGATAGCCTAGATCATATAAACAGGTCCCCAGTAGATCCCGAGACTATAATTGAACATTTTAGTACATAAATTTGTGCATTACCAGAATACCTGTGTACAAATGAATATTTTACACATATTATATAATAATGCAATCCAATATTAAGCACCCAGTAACCTCGCAAATAGGCCTCCCTTCCAAAAATCAGATCTCTCTTCCAAAAATAAGCTCTCCCTGTTAAGGGCTGTCAAAATGGGCCATGCTAGCCCAGCAAACATGGCTGGATTTTCTTTTCAGGGCTAGTTTGTCATTTGCCTCACAGGAGTCAGGCTAACCTGGCAAGTGTTGGCAAGAAATTTGTGTGAAATGCTGGTTAATTTGTTAAAGGCAACGGCTTCAAAAGGCTTATATTAATCAATTTCTTACTTACTTGGGCCAAATTGTGTACTATAACATGATTTTTAGTCGAGTGAGCTGGTTGACCAGCTTATGACCTTTATCGATGGGCCAATAAATTCAACCAGGCTGTTTCATGTGAATGCAATCTCAAACATATATAAAATTAATATACGAGGCAGTATCTTACCATGGGCAGGTGTATATTTAGCCCATATAAATGGGCAAGCCAGCTTCCCCGTTGTGATATTATTCTACTGACAATACCTGGTTGATTCTACAAGATTATGACCTAAAATATTCCAATTGTATAGCTTCAGGGTCTGCTAAGGGTCTGTTGATATGATCTGGGCTAGGGAGCATGGGACCCTAAAGGCAAGTTCATGTTGCCTGGTTGTGGGATAGAATGTTTACTGTAAATGGTGAATTTCTTGGCTTGCATAGTTGGGATTCTGGCAACGGATACCTCGTGCTTAGCCAGGATAGTAGCAGGATAGTATATCGACAATACTGGCAAATGTTGTCTCCTGCCTAGCCAGGTCATAAGAACAGGCCCCATTTGTGACTAGTGGGCCAGATTAAGGAAGAAACAATGAGGGTCCTATGGCTATGCTATGACTATATGTCCATAAATTTTGATATCTGAACAAAATTTTGATATCTGTCCCAAAGTCATGCATCTTCCTTAAGTTTAGGACTCTGAGACCAATGAATATATTGTCATTCAAGGATTAAAAACAATGAAGACAAGTGTTATGGTCAAACAAACGAAAGTATTCATGTCCACAGGCTGCAATACGCAATGTTGACACATTAATCATTATCCTGAAGTCGACAAAATGTCGAAATCGACGAAAAACGAGCCAAGAAACAGTTATTGAGCTAATCAATCAAAATAAATACCTGGCATAAGTTTGAAGGTCCATAGTCCAAATATTTGATGAATATCTTTAGCCCATTTTTACCAACAAAATTTTAAAAATTCCCTGTATTTAGATACGAACCATATTGATCGCCACGCTGTTTAGCAAGAAATCGACATGTCAACTTGTCCCGGCCCGGAAGTGTCCTGTTTACTTGTTACACAGGATATTAATAAGTTAATGTGAAAATATGAAGATAAAAGTATCTTTTAAAAAATAAAACCTCTCAAACCTCGA